TTTGAACTTTCAGACATCATAATAACAAATATAACCAACATAATAATGACTAGACATAGTTGTTACACAAAATTGCCCCCAGCCGTTTTTTAACACTCGAGTGTGTTGAAACTAAAAGCTGGGTCCATCTGTTATTGAGACAGTTAAAAACATTTAGCGGGAAAGAATAATTGTGTACTTTTCAAAGAACGTAAATAAGTTAAGAATCTCTCTTTCCTTTCCCTTTTTTTTCAGTGGAGGCAATTATATCGATCTTGACGCAAACATTTTCATGACGATTTAATCCATGTGTGTTATCTTGATGTGAATTAACGCTGTAAGAATCCAGATATTGGATATTGTCACGATAATACGTCACGAAATTTTGTGGAAAACTAATATCTACGTCCACTACTCTTCAGTCCCCCACCCCTACCCCTCTGTTTGTTTTTTTTACCGTCGACTGCCCCTTTGGTACAAATTTCTTTCTCTCCCCACCCTTCCGCTGCCATTAAAATCAAAGAAGGCGGCTATAATTTTCGCTAAGAAAATACTGAGCACTCGTTCACTAAAAAATTACACCTGTTCTACAGGCTACGTCCACAAGGACTCTGGTGAAGCGATTCCATGCTCAAAATTGATTTCCTTGACTTATTATAATTTTAATTGTGTATCAAGTAAGTTGTAATTTCGTTTATACCCTTACAGTAAAATTTTTCTACCGTCTAAGTAAAGCATTTACGTCACCATTTAAGTAGTAGTAGTCATAGGAATCGAATTAGTTTTGCGAACAGTGATATTTCAAATTAGGTATTTCCAGGGCGTAAAGCGCGTAGGAACATAGTAGTAAGATTGTCAAGTAAAGCCATGTTTGATAGGAAATTCGTACCCACAAATCGTTGCAGAACAACGTGAGCAAGTCTTGAATCCCGCACGAAATTGCGTATCTGGGTGTAGATTTCTTAAGCTAATGAATGTAGCAATTTTTGTAACCCTAAGTTAAATTGGAATAGAATAGATAGATCGTAGAACGGAACGTGTAATGCTGAATTGTCGACAATAAAGCCTGAATCAAGTGAAAGTATACATGAAGTAGTTGCTAAAGAAAGCACGCAAGCTAAAGCCGTACTGTAAACCAGCTCAAGATCCCGGAAGCATCAGATGTCAAATAGAAGACTACAGAAGTCAATTGAAGGCAGACAAAAATGTAGAATATTTCAATTGACATACGATTTAATGCACTAAACTTCATAGATGAACCGGTCAAATTAATTTTTAAGTAAGTTCGGATGTGTATAAGATCCCAAATAATTGTACTGCTAACAAATAAAGCGTAACAATGATGAAGTAAGTGCTGAGTCACCCTTGATTACTTGTCGCGTGACGTGCCTCTTCGTCATATGACTTTTCTTGGTGGAATAAATATGTGGCACACGACTAACTCAACACTGGTGAAACCGTCATGACGAAATTTGCGTCGCACCTGTTGCTCGCTGCAGTATTGATAACTGCTGGTAACTCACAGATTCCTTTACCTAAACGTCCGCTGGATTTTGTCTATAAAGGAGGCGAGCCGACTGTACCAATTCACTTGGAAGCATTTGTTGATTTGACTTGCCCGGATTGTCAACAAGCATGGCCGACTCTCAAAAAAGTCGCAGATATGTACGGTCCTGAAACTGTCCAGTTTACCTTGCAGTTGTTCCCGTTGCCATATCACACAAATGCATTCCTAGCGGCACAAGTGAGTTGAAAAAATATATATCGGCTTGTCTATACTCGCATCATCAGAGTTATGTAACATGTAACGTTACAACAGCCCTAGATCATCAACAGAGGTAACACATTTGGGTAAGAAGAATTCTAAGGTTACTTTAAAGGAAAACCTTAACTCTAGGCACCCTCATTCTTTGACGTTATTTAGCATGCGCATGCAATTTCTCGTTGCAGGATTTTCAATTTTTATAAACCCCCGTGACATGGCGTAATTAAACAAGCTTATATATCGCAACTTGGAGACAAAGTGTAGAAGATCTTGGAATTAAAAAAGCTCTAGGTACTCACCACTCAGTCGTTGCTGTAATAAACTCTAGCAGTTGTATACATTACTGGTACCAATTTGTCCATGTCCCCCACCCTCTCCTCACCTTTTGGCTCATGTCACTCCTTCAAAAAACTTCAATTTATTAGTTTTTTAGAATAATTTCTGTACTATTTTTACAGTAGCTCATAAACGACCTCCCACTTCTTGTATTATCTGCAAAATTTCTGGAAGAGGTCTACTTGCGTCTAAATCTAAAAGCAGAAATTATACTGGCCAACATTTCCTTCAAAAGCAAAAACCAAGATTGATGATCAAAACTGCTTTTGAAGTGTAATGAGAAACCAACTAACCCTTATTCAAACACAGAACTAGCTCTTGAGAGGGAAAACTCAAAACTGCATTGTATGCCAATATGCCAAGGCTAAGCTGGAAAACATAAAAAAAGAATGGCCCACTCTTCTTTCACAAATACTGAAAAGCAAACATCACTAAGGAAAAAAAAAACAGAATACCAAAGGGGTAACAAACATTTTCCATTTTACATTTTCATTTTCCATTTTCCCTGTACAGTTTCATAAACCATTTAGTCATGTCAGAGCTTAAAAACTGATTTTGAAAATTTTGAAAATGGCTAAGACTGTTAAACCCAAAAAACCTAAATCTTAGTATGATGCACCTAAACTTGTAGCAGTACTGCATCATAACAAAATTTTGGTTCCATAGGTATCTTGTGGTCTAGTCATCTTCTGAAATTTACCTTTCCCCTTCTCAACTTAAATGATTGCCTGTGACTATGCGACAGAAATTTAAGCACAAATAGTCAGTAGACTGAGAATTATCTTCATTCACGCTAAAGGATTAAGCTAAGTCATCTTGTTTTGGGATCAGGCAGTTAATTGAATCACTATCCTACAAACATGAAGCAATAGACTATTACAAAAAAAGAATTTGACAGAATATCTTCCAAACAACAGTCCATTAATCAGCAATAACTAACAAACACTAATGAACTAGAAATAATCAAAACTGCCTATGCTGTGGGTGAAAGGGAAACTACTTCCTAAGTTAGAAGTCAACTTGTTTGCTTTCTAACGCTTGATTGCTAATGGAACAAACTCAGATATCTAAGCAGTGATTTACAGAAATAATTTTGCAATAAAACTCTGTATTAGCTTGCACAACCACTGGTCCTATCCAAGTGTTATGACTTGCATGTGCACAAATTGCTCAATCTAGGAAGAGACCTCATCGCTCTCATATCAAGATTCATATTAATGAGATTGATTTTCACTAATTGTAGGTTAACAAATAATTGTATGTATACATATCAACAAAGACATTGTGCTATTTTTATTGCTACCACGAAATGATATGTAGTTCAATTTCTCAGAGCTACTTATAAATCACATATAACTTTCCAAATTTTTTAGAGTGTATTTTATATTTATTTCATGATTCAACTATTGGATGGTTGATTTTTCTAACAAATTTTACTGCAAAGTTTTGGTAACACTGTGTTATCTAAATATACTGCATCCCACATTGAAGTGTTAGAAACAACTTTGATTAATTTTCAGAGTGTTTATGCTGTGGAAGCTTACAATACTTCCCTTGTGATAAGCTGGATGGATGTCATATTTGAGAACCAGAACCAACTCTATGATTTCCAGACTATGGACAAAAACAGATATGATGTCATAAAGTAAGCCTTTTCTCAGTAACAGATTTTTTTAATATTAGACTTCCTATCACTTTGAATGAAAGCGTAATCCTAACTTGCTTCTTTATCCTTAAAACCACAATTCCAAAATCCTCAGCTGCCGAGTTTAGAAATGCAAGATTTTTTTGTTGCAAATGCAATTTTGTTCACTTTTTCCTTAATTTTTACAAACTCTTGACACCCAGGCCAATGACGTTGCATCATTTTCTCTTTTCTCTCATACCTGTAGCATCATTGCTGATTTAGGAAGTAAAATTGACATTGACAAGACTGTTATCAAGGATGGACTTACAAACACAGAATATAATGAACATACAAGAATCTCTTGGAAATATGGTTGTTCAAGTAAGTTTAGGACTTGTTAAGTGCTCAGCTAGTCAAATTACGTTAAGATCAGTGATAAACCTAATTTCAGATCTAAGTAATACAAATCTGTAGTTTATATTATGTCAGCCCAAAATATTTCAAATCATACCATCAACTGTAACAGACTAATTTTAACTTAGCAGCTTGTGTAAGGTGTTATGCCATTAGTTTCAGTAATTACTACAAGGAGTTAAACCTGGGGCAAATGAGAACAAATCCAGTGAGTCACAGCCTGGAGGTCTTTAACTCGTGACCAACAGATTTCAAGCCTAGTGCCGTAACCTATGACTGGGCCAGACTGCCTCCATCAATGATGACACTATATGATAATCTCTCACACTCCCAGGAGTAAATTGAGTAAAAATAAAGAGTTTGTGAGATGGGATAAGAGTTACATAGTTACTCAGTATTTGTTTGGATATGTATTGTGGTTCAAATTATCCTTGGTTTGAGATTTTTCAAATAAGGTTTGAGTTTATTTTTCTTTGTGTTATATTCACTATTTTAATCTGAAACTTTTGTGGGATTTGGAAGTCACACTTTTTGATAAAATGTAAGCTATGAACTGCAACATTAACTGGCATGACAACATTGAATTAACTTTCTATACCACCAGAGAGATTGTTGGACATTATTTTCATTTCTGTTTGTTTCAGGGACAGTTTCTGGAACTCCATTTTTCTTCTTGAATGGGGTTTTTGTTAGCCAGGCATCTGCTGCTTGGACTGTGGAGGAATGGAAACAGCTCATTGATCCTCTACTGAAGTTAGATGTTCGGTAAGTAGGAAAACTACTGATGAGTTTATCATTCCACAACCATACAGCTTGAATAATTCCACAACCCTGCAATTCCATGAAATGTGTCAGCATTCATTACTTTTTTCTTTTTTTTCCAGTGACTTTTTGAAGTTGTGATTGCTGGAATATTGGCACCCCATTACAATACTGGTTGAACCACTTAACTTCTACATCAAGAAAAAAAGAATCTCCTTGACTTTTTTTATTTTAAAACACTTAAAATTACTCTGTTAAGTCTGCTGATTAGTGATGAGAAGAAGTCTGCAAGATTTTGTTTTGCAACAATATCAGAGCTAACTTTCAAACCTCCTCAAGGTTATCTGCTATAGAAAGACTCACCGAGGAAATTCTTCACACAAGGCCATCCAAACCCGAAAATGTCTGCCCACCACTCGTCACAAACTACCCTCCATTCTCCACTTGCTTTAGTGCATTAATTTGGATTTGTGATCACTCTTTTTTTTTGGCCGACAACCTCATCCTACATTCACCACATCTGACTGCGAGTCCAATAGAAAAAAATTAAGATCATTCATTATTTGTGAACACGGAATAATTTAAGAAATGTTTTAAGTTAAGCCTTTGCGAAAGGAAAAACAATCGGTAAGAAGTAACCACGAAATAATCTCACCGTTGACTTCTTTGAGGAGGTCTAAAGAATTTAATATGCATGGGAAAAAAAGTATTATTTTAATATCACACAAAAACGTCACAGCTTTATTTAGACTCAGGTCCTACAAGGCGAACAGAAGCTCAGTGTTATGTCGTTATCATGATCCATTATGCCAAACGTTACAGGTAAAGGAAAACAAATGTATATCGCACAGATAACAGTGAAGTGCTTCAACTTTTTCCGTCGTGAAAGCAGAATTACTCTTAGACATGGGGCCCTTTGATCAGTCTTGTTCGAGAGTGCAGCGTTACTTGATGCGACGAAATTCTCTCGTTAATTAAAAGTATCTGAGTAGATTCCTGTTTAAGATTTCACGGGCAATGCGCTTTGCTAAAAAATTGGGTTTAATTTGAGTTGACATCAATCCCCTCCCTAAATTCTTAGGTATGCTTACCAAACGGAATGTTAGGTCTACTTCTAATTTAATTCACTTGCCACTCAATGTTTTAATGCAGCTTCCCATTTTTCTATTTTGTTGTTTACACTTTTGTTTTGAGCTACACACTTGTACAACACAATGACCAACTTCAGTTTGAAGGTTGCGTTCATTTTCCTTATTCTTAGTTGTCAGAACCTCTATAACATCAAAAGCATTACCATCGTAAGTTCTCCTAAATTAATACTTCTTTATAAGCAGTATTTTACCGGTATTTCTAATTAACGCCCTTGCGAAATGGCTTTTGGAATTCCTAGGAATTCCTAGGATTTTCCTAGGAATTCCTAGGAATTTATTCCTAGGAATTCCTAGGAATTCCTAGGAATTCCTAGGAATTCCTAGGAATTCCTAGGAATAAAGGTGTGAATTTTCACGGTAAATTCGGACTGGGAATTCCTAGGAATTCCTAGGAATTCCCAACCATAACAACTCTGGTTCTAAAAACCTAGAAATTCCTAGAAATTCCCAGAAATTCCCAGAAATTCCCAGAAATTCCCAGAAATTCCCAGAAATTCCCAGAAATTCCAAGCTTATGGCCAACAGGACTTGGAATTCCTAGGAATTCCTAGGAATTCCTAGGAATTCCTAGGAATTCCAACTCAGAGAACCAATGACTTTCCCTGAAAAGCTGTAAATCTAAAAAATTTCTAGGAATTTCTGGGAATTTCTGGGAATTTCTGGGAATTTCTGGGAATTTTTGGGAATGTTTAAGAATTACTGGGAATTTTAAGCAAAAATTTGAGGCTAATGATATAAAATAAATACTTTAAATTAAAAAAAACCCAGCTAAAATTCAAGTATTCAATGAAATTTATTTAGAAGCTTAATTAAGGCTTACATGTAAAATATTTTTGATTAAATAACATCAATGTGTGGTAATATTAGGATGGAATTTGATTTATTTTTCTTTTCTTGAAAACTTCATACGGATTAATCCACAATTACAGCTATTCATATAAAATAGTTCTAATCAATCATTAAATTTGGTTTGACACAAATTGTGAATAAAATCTGTTGATTCTTTTCCATAAAATACAATATCTTAAGTTTTATTTGAAAACCAAGCACTCTTGGGAGTGAAGGGGCTAATTACAGACAAATAAAATTGATTTTTTGATTAAAATCTTGTTGTAACTGTAACAATAAATTAGAATGAAGTTATCCTAAACTGCAAACTTAGCTGCTGTTTGTACTGTTTGTATTTTTTTTCCTGGGCTCACAATGAGTTGGCCTTGAATGAGGTTGTCAACAAGAACCTTGACCATTTTGTATCTGGATTCCTTGACATCTGAATTTGAAAAAAAATAATATATTAAAATATGTATATTTAAAGCTCAGACCAGGCTTTTAAGATGGCTATGAGGAAAAGGGCATTCATTGGATTCTCAAATTGGGAAATCTCTGTTATATTGAGTGACTTTTATATTGGAGTTAGTACATCTCTCTCATGGATTTTACTAAAAAAGGGCTGAATACATTATTTTGTTTTTACCCAGGAGGGCTTCTTTATGTACTAAGGTTTGTTTAATAACAGTTCCTATTATGAATCTTGAATGTTCCCAAACGTGACTAGAGGAATCTTGAAACCTTACTGATAGGTTTATTTCATTGTAAAGCATAAGCTTAAGAAACTGCGGCATGCAAGTGACCGATTCGATTCTCAGAATTATTCTAGTTTCAGTTGCGCCGAGCGTTACGTAAGCTTAATTCAACCCGCTACATCTATTATTTTATAAGATTTTGATCACGTAACGAATATCGCAATTTTTACTCACCACAAACTTTCAAAATCGTAGCTTTACAGATGGCCACTCGACCCTTGTTTGTACCAGTCAATATGTCAACTGTTGTCCCTTCTTTTAACTCCACGGCGCCAACGACTTTCTTTTCTTTTACAACACTCACGCTATTCTCGTTTTCCCATTGAACCACAATAAAAGCTATCTTTAGAAATGTTATATTAAGCAAAACAGTTGAGAAAAGCGATCAACCGATGAAAAGTACATTCAAAGATGAGCGCCAAATGGAGTCTTCTTTGTTTCCGATCACGGGCATGATCACGTGGATCTTTTAGGACTTATCATTGGCTAGCAAAGTGAATCCGCTGGCTTGCCGATTGCAGTGTTAAGAGAAGCGCCTAACTTTATTCTGACTTCTCCGACCGGTTCTCTGCTTCTAGAAAATGGATAGCTTGGTGATACAAATAAAGATGTGAGCTCACTCTATGTAGAAATAATCGAAAAGAATCGATCGTATTACAAATGCACGATTTGTGGCCGAAAGTTGTCGAGGAAACAAAGACTCGAAACTCACTTGAGTTGTGTTAATGGCCAAGGTGAGAAATAACACAAGCCAATCACAGTTTTGAATGCGACTACAAATCATCTTTTACCCTCATACTTATAAAAGAAGGATACCACATTCGGAAGTATAAGAGATACATAGATGATCCCAGTGTACCAGTACCTTAATCTACAAAGCTTGACCGTAGCAAGCGTTCAGCAACACGTTCCAACACCGCCATCTCGATTCCTCAGTCAGTCGTTTCCAATGAACTTAAAGCAGTATTGACAAGAGAGTAGAGTGCGTCTTACAAAGGAGAAACATTTGTACAAGAGACAGGAGTAGCTATATGCGATTACAGAGGTGCGTTGGAACTCTGGTCCACAAATAGTTATGCACTGCCCGAAGTATAAAACAATCTTGTTGATAGCTGACAGACAGAGAAGAACAACAAGTAAACTTAAGAGCTGTTATTATTGAAGTGTGACTATCACTTTTCATTTTTATATAAAGAAGGACTTGTAATTTGCACCAAAAATAAAAAGATGTAATATTTTTTTGGGAGATCCAGTGATTGGGACATTTAAGAAATTAAGTTATGAAAGGAAACTTGGTTGGTACTTCTCACTACTAACAAGTCTTGTTGACAAATATAATTTCAGATCAGAGTTTCAAATAAAGTAAATTGAAGACGTCATATAAAAGGTGTTTTTCCTCTAAGGGAACATTGACTTCCTCTGTCTTGTCTGCATGCCAAATGTTTGCAAAGTGTGTGGATGATCCACAAGTATTGGAACATATACAAAACATTTTTGTAAGAGTTCCAATACTTGTGGATCATCCACACACTTTGCAAACATTTGGCATGCAGACAAGACAGAGGTAGTCAATGTTCCCCTTTTCTTACAAAAATGTTTTGTAAGAATAAAAACAGCAAAACAAATTACAGCAATTAGTCATGAAAATAGAGCAAAAAACTGAAAAAAAAAAGCAGCAAAAACAATCATGAAAAAAGAAAGATTAATTAGGTGTTGAATTTGTTTGTCTAAGGCATGAAATTTCTACTAAAAGTATTGTCAACAAAAAGTCTCTGACAGCGTTTGAGGCAACTGAGCTTGACTGTTCCAAGGTTTTCTAACAAAGGCAACCAGTAATGTAGGTTAGGGAAGTAAGATAACAATGTAATTATTGTTAATTATTGTGGAAGTTGGCAATTTCCATTTAACATAACTGACAGCTGGTTCATGAGAAAATCCATATTAATGTCAAGATTTACTAAAACTTAGTTTGAGTGATAAATTTTATGATCTTTAGTTATAAACATGTACATGTATGTATATCTCTTGGTAAGTTTTGTATAGCATACCTTTTATTGAGCCAAAGTTTTAAGCCTCTGAAATTACTCTTTTTCTTAAAACCTTCACATTCAAGGTATTGAGAATTTCTTAGAATTTATGTGGACCTCAGGGTATTAAAATTTCCTCAAATTCAATTCCCAGAAATTCCCAAGAGTTCCACACTTCTTAAATTATAGGTAGTTTGTAAAGCTGAGAATTCCTAAGAATTCCTAGGGATTCCAAGTCCTCACAAAACTGGAGTCTTCCTTTCCCAGAAATTCCCAGTAATTCCAAGCTTTTTAAATCAGAGTTCATTTGCATAGTTGGGAATTTTTGAGAATTCCTAGGAATTCCTAGGAATTCCTAGGAATTTTTAGGAATTCCTAGGAATTCCCAGAAATTCCCAGAAAACTGGGAATTCGGTTTGCAAGGGTCATTTGCATAATTGGGAATTTTTGAGAATTCCTAGGAATTCCTAGGAATTCCTAGGAATTCCTAGGAATTCCTAGGAATTCCCAGAAAACTGGGAATTCAGTTCGCAAGGGCGTCGGTTTCCACAGGCTAACAGTTTCCTCTACAACTGACAATAGTTGACTTAAGTTAAGCTCCTTTTGTAATTCCCCAGTTTTCAAATTTCCTTGGTTTGCAATTGAATGGTTTCAGACCCTCTTTGTGTCCTTTCCCTTTCGAAACTGCAACACAAACTTGACAATACAATGGATACTTTGGCATCCAATAATTTCCGATAGCAGTTCCACTGATGTTG